ATTATACTTCTATGTCTTAAATTTTTTTTTTTTTTTTTTAGTAATGAATGCAGCAGCATTCCTCTTCAACGTGGCAATTTGCTAAACTTGTGGTTCAAACGAACTTTGAAGTTCAGTGCTTATCCTATGACCAACATCAGTTCATTTTATCTCAAAAATGGCAAGGATATTGATCTTTATGTGTTCCATTTCATTTTGACACTTCCAGTATTCCTAGATTCATACATCATACATTCCATATTCCAATTATTAATGGATATTTGCAGTTGTTTCTCCTCATTTTGAGTTGTGCCCCATCAGCAAATGAAGGTCTTAAATGGTTTACTCCATTTGCATCATCACAGTCAGTTCTACTTTGTGGAGGCAGCTCTTCCCCAGTTGTATTTTGAGTGTCTTCCAACGTGAGTGGCTCATCTTTTAGCACTATATCTGACATAGCCTCATACTGTTCTTTCTTCTGGCACTGTATCTTACAATGTTCCACTGCTATTCATCAAGTTCTCAGTGGTTAAACATTTAGAAGTAGTCTGCCTCTCCTTCCTGTCTGTCTTAGTCTGAAAGCTCAGCTGAAACTTGTCCATCATAGGTGACCCTGCTGGTACTTAAAATATGGATGGCATAGCTTCTGGCATCACAACAACATGTAAGCAACCACAGTCTGAGCAAATTACAGATGAGTGGTTGGTAGGCAGAGATAGAAAGGATAAAAAGCAATGGAGAGTACAGTGAGGAAGAAGGATAAAGAAAGAAAACAAGGAAAGGAAAAAATTAGGACTGATGTTAGAAACTGAGAGGACAAAACTCTGGGGGCTCATGCTAGCCAAGGAATTCATGTGGTTGGTTGTCAAGAGTTAAGATAAGTCAGTGGTGTTCAGTCCTAGATGGATGTCTTATAAGTCTAGGTGTTTTCTGCTCTGGACATCCAATCTGGAAGTAGTTTGTGCAGACCCTACAGAGATTAGGACTAAGGTCTTTTCAGGCCTGAACTGCTGGCCAGTACAGGTCACCTATCTCTCTTGTTTTTAAACCCTATATCTGTTAAGCTTCTTTTCTGAGTCAGAGCTAGTCTAATGCTGACCTGATCTGGCTTTCCAGGTTTTTAGCAGGGCTCACCTGAATCCATGCTCTGAGGATGGTGCGGATAGCTCCTGACTCACGTTGATGGAGCTCACAGTGGTGTGTCTCACGACTGTGTGGCTCAGACCCTGGGTGAGTTGGACCTTTCCTGGGGATTTAGCAGGTCGGAGCTGGCCACACCTCTGGTCACCAGAGGAGTGTGAGAAACAAGGAAAAAAATCTTACCTTTATCTCCACTGGTACATCTCTGCATCACCCAGCCTCTGTTTTGTCTCTAAAAACCATTCATGAAATTTTTTTTGGTAAGTGTTTTATTGTGGATTGAATAAAAGTTTACAGGGCAGATCATTAGTTTTCATTCAACAAATCATATACTTTGTTTCATTACAATGATTGTAATCCCCTTCATGTACCATCAGTTAACAGTATTTCTCTCTATTCATTTTAGCTCTTTTTTTTTTTAAACACTCAGGCATTATAATAGTTTACACCACCAAAGGGCACATTCTGCAAGTCTGCCTCCTGGCTGCCATCTCTTAGTCCCTCATTTCCCATAAATCTAGAGTCCTCAGCTGCTCTCTCTCTCTCTCCATGTTTCCATCTCTGCCTCCATCTCTGGTTTCACTGCTTCTCTGGATAAGGTCCCGCATTCTGCTTGTGCTCTTCTCCCTTGATGATCCTTTACAATTGTGACAGTAACAATTAGTTATCATAACAATTACTCACTATTGAATTATAAGAATCTTATCCCCATCTCTTTTAACCAGACCCATCTAGACAAGATGAGCATTCATGAAATTTTAAGGTGACTGTGCTGCCTGCATCTGGTCTGCTGGCACAGGTCACCAGTCTGTCTCCTTTTTTTTTCTTCTTTAATTAGATATGTTCACCTTCCTTTCCTAATGAGCATTCAATCTATTTCTGTATCTCTTCATCTGAAGCTCAGGTTTCCAGGACTATCATCTGTGTCTGCTTTATCTGGTTTTCCTTCTCTGTGATGTAGAGACTGTGTTTCTGCTTAGTCTGTCATCTTGCCTCCTCTCTGAGACTAAATTTTTATAGCCTGATCCTTCTCCTCCACCACTTGTCAGTCAGTTTGTTGTACTGTGGTGACTTGTGAGTTGCTGTGGTTCTGGAAGCTATGCCATGGGTATTTTAAATACCAGCAGGGTGGACAGGTTTCAGCTGGAAGACTAAGGTGCACCTTACCCAAGCCATGGTATTTTCAATAACCTCATATACGTGCAAAAGTTGGACAGTGAATAAGGAAGATCATAGAAGAACTGATGCATTTGAGTTATGGTGTTGAAGGAGATTATTGAAAGTACTGTGGGTTGCCTAAAGAACCAACAGATCTGTGTTGGAGGAAGTGCAGCCAGAGTGCTCCTTGGAGGCCAGGATGGCCAAACTTCGTCTCTCATACTTTGGACATATTATCAGGAGGGACCAGTCTCTGGAGAAGGATATCATGTTTGGTAAGGTGGAGGGTCAGAGAAAAACTGGAAGACCTCCAGCAAGATGGATTGGCAAAGTGGCAGCATCAATGGGCTCAAGCGTGTCAACAATTGTGAGGTTGACACAGGACTGGGCTGTATTTCGTTCTATTGTGCATAGGGTCACTATGAGTCGTTACTGACTCCATGTCACCTAACAGCCACAACAATCTTTCTATTTCCACAATCACCCAGCTGGTGGGTGTAAATAGTCAACCTTGTGGTTATTTATAT